GGGGCACTGCGTGGGCGCGGAGAAGCAGATCGTCTGGCTGCGGCCCATTCCCTGGGTGAAGGGCGCGCCCCCCCTGGACAACCCCCCCTGCGTCTTCGACGTCGACGACCCCTCCTGTGACCGAAGTGAGCGCTGCCCCTGCCCCTGCCCCGCCGGGCTGCCCCCCGGGCAGGTTTCCCCCAGGGGAAGGGCATTGCCCTTCATCTGCCCCGGGTCTGCCTTGAGCACAGCTCGGCTCCCGGGGGCTCGTCGGCTCTGCTGGCCACGGGGCTAAGTAGCCTGCCCGCGGGCCTAGCAGCCACGCTAACCAGACCTGGGTGGGCGTCACGGCTCGTGGTGCTGGAGCCTCCGGCGCTGGTCCTGCCCTCAGCCCGGCCCCCGCCCCACAGCTGGGCCAGCCCTGTGACACGCTCTCCTCCCCAGCCCCCCTGTCCACGCTGGCCATCGTGGCCCTGGGCACGGGCCTCACCTTCGTCATCTTCGGCATCTCCAGCTTCCTGATTTTCAGGTGAGTCGTGGGGGGGCACTCACTGCCCCAATCTCCACAGGGCTCCTGGGGCTGCTTCCCGCTTGTGCCCGTGTGCATGCACACGCTGCCAGCCTCGTGTGTGTGTATACGGTGCACACACACATACACACGTACGTTGTTGCTGTCTGGCTGCATTGGCCTGGAGGAGCCGGGGGCCCAGCCTCTCCCACACGCCGGCCCAGTGCTGCCAGTTCCCTCCACAGCCTCTGGCGGGTCCCAGCCCCAGGAGCCGTGTGGAGCTGGGCTGGGGGCTCAGGGGTGTCCTGGGCCTGGGGGCAGGCCTGGCAGAAGCCCTGACTGGCTGGGTCCCCAGGAAGCTGATGCTGGAGAAGGAGCTGGCCAGCATGCTGTGGCGCATCCGCTGGGACGAGCTGCAGTTCGGGAGCACCGACCGCTGCCACAAAGGGGCTGGCAGCCGGCTCACGCTCTCCCTGGTGAGCCCCCGTGCCCTGGGCTGCCCCTGCCACCCTCTGCACCCCCGGGCCTTGCACCACCGCCTGACCCCGACCCCCGCCCCAGCCAGCCCTGCACCTCGTTAGCACCTGCGTGGAGCTCCCCCGCGGAGTAACCCCCACTAACACTGCCTGGGCCATGCCGTGGAGCTGTGCCCTGTGCCAGCCCCACAGGGCCCTGCCCTGCCCTCCCCACCGACCCCAGACGCCCCTGTCCAGCTCGGGGGCCACCACCCACTGGTGCCTGCCTGGCACCCCCTTCGCCGCTGCCCCGGCTGGGCTTGCCCTGCAGGATCGGGCCCGGCCAGGCCGGTCGCCGGCGGTGGGGCCAGTCCTGGCTCTGGCTGCAGGAGCTCCGTGCCCCCCTGCGCCCCGGTCTGAGCTCTGCTGAGCTGCTGCGCCCGGCAGCTCCGTCTCGCACGTGGGTGCTGGCGGCTGCATCGTCTCCTCCCTTCCCTGCACCCCGGGGCCCACACAGCCCTCACGGTTCCTCCCTGGCAGCGCGGCTCCAGCTACGGCTCCCTGATGACGGCCCACGGCAAGTACCAGGTCTTTGCCAACACCGGACACTTCAAGGTCAGTGTTGGGCCCCGGCGGTGCCCCCACCCCACCCCACCCCACCCCCATCCTGGCACCCTGCTCCCCATCCTCCCCGCGTGCTCCCATCCAGCCCTGAACCCCGCTGCTGCGGCGCTGACTCTGCCTGCCCCCTGCTCCCCAGGGGAACGTCGTGGCCATCAAGCATGTCAACAAGAAGCGGATCGAGCTGACGAGGCAGATACTCTTCGAACTGAAGCACGTAGGTCCTGGGGGCTGCGAGCTCCCGGCCAAGGGTGCAGGAGGGGCAGGGGCCACGGCTCCGGGCTGAGGGGTCAGGGCATGCGGCGGTCCCAGCCTGCACATCTGTGGTGCGGAGAGGGTGGGTGGGGGCCGGCTGTGACCCTCAGGGACCACAGGGGGAATATGGCTGCAGCCATGGACCATGCGCATGATCCCTGGGGCCTCCAGCCTCACTCGCTGTGCAAGAAACACATGCAGCCACACGCGTGCACCTGCAGTCATGCAGCCATGCATGCACCCGGAGACCTGCACATGCATGCACACCTGCGTCCCCCCCTCCCTTTATCCCTGAGCCGTAGCTGTACCGTCGCACGTCGGGGCTGTGGGGCGCTGAGCACCCCGAGCGGGCTCTGAGGGGCTGCCTGGCTCTGTTTGCACTGCAGATGCGGGACATCCAGTTCAACCACCTGACCCGCTTCATCGGGGCCTGCATCGACCCGCCCAACCTCTGCATCGTGACGGAGTACTGCCCGCGGGGCAGCCTGCAGGTGCGCGGGTCAGGGGCTCGCGGTGACTTCCATCTCGGGCCGGGCACGGCGACTCGCCCCTGCAGCCCTGGCATGTCCAGGTCCCCCGGCCGCGGCCTGCCCGGGCTCAGTGTGAAGGGAAGGGCCAGCAGAAATAGCCAGTGGGGGAGGAAAGGCAGCATAGGAAATGAGCAAGGGAAGCCAAAGGCCACGGGCGGGAAATCTTCAGCTTTTGGCCTCGGGAAGACGAGGTGCCTGAAGCGTGTCAGGGGCGAAGGCAGCCCTTATGCTGAGACAGGGTGGTACCAAGATAAGGATGAAGAAACCCCTTGTTGCTTTGTTTGGAGGAAGCAGAAGGAAGTCTGTCACGTGGGGATGAGGAGCCTCTTCCCAAGGCATTAGGAGCAGGGAGGGTGTTGACCAATGTACACAAGGAAGAGAGGGTTTAAAATCCCCCTTCTGGTCTCCCCCACTCAAGAGTCCTAAAAGAGTTGGCCGAAGAGATCTCTGGCATTCATTTTTAATAACTCTTGTTGGTTGAGGTGGAGTCCAGCAGACTGGGAGAGGACAGGTGTTAGGGCGAAAGACTGGCCTGGGCTCTCGCCAGCTGCAAGCAGGGCCTCTGGGGCTGTGGCGGACATTGCTAGACACCTGCTCCAAAGGCAGCGTCGTGGCCAAGACTGATACAGCCCTGGGGACACGGGCAGGGGGCTCTGTCCTTGGCACTGGCACCAGTGCGGTGGATGCAGGGACCGATCTGAGCGCTGGGTTTGGGGCCGTGTCTGCTGTGGTCGTGGTGCCAGTGGCTGAGGTTTCCCGTGGGGCGGGGCCCCTGCTGCACGCCTGACGTGTCCCCCTCGCCGCCTCCAGGACATCCTGGAGAACGAGAGCATCAACCTGGACTGGATGTTCCGCTACTCGCTCATCAACGACATCGTCAAGGTAACGAGCAGGCGCAGCCGGGCGGGCACCTGCAGCCACGTGCCCCGGGGGCACACTCTGGTGCCCAGGGGATGGGGATGGGGATGGGGATGGGATCTCCCCCGGACGGGCTCAGTCTCCCCATGAAGGGGGATCATGGGGTCCCACTGGGCCAGGAGCCTGGTCCTCACCGCATGTCCACCCGGCGCAGGGCATGGCCTTCCTGCACAACAGCATCATCGGGCACCACGGCAGCCTCAAGTCGTCCAACTGCGTGGTGGACAGCCGCTTCGTGCTCAAGATCACCGACTACGGACTGGCCAGCTTCCGCGCCACGCCCGACGCCGACGATGCCCACGCGCTCTACGCCAGTGAGTGCTGCCCCGGGCGCCCAATTCCCGCAGCCTCTGCCCGCCCATGGGGCAGGATGCAGCCGGTGCCCCATGCAGCGCCCAGCCGGGGCGCAGCCCCCTCATGGTCCTGTGTGGGGCAGGATGTGCCCCCTTGCAGGGCTTCGTCGGGGTGGACGGGGTCATAGCCCTCCGGAGGGGTCCCTGAGCTGTGCCACGGGGGGCAGGGGGGTCACAGCCCTTGGGTTCGGAGCTGGGGGCAGGGAGGGGTCGCCTCCCCGAGTCCCGCTGACCGCGCCATGCCCTGTCCTGGCAGAGAAGCTGTGGACGGCGCCCGAGCTGCTGCAGAAGGGGCAGCTGCCCACCCAGGGCATGCAGAAGGCCGACGTCTACAGCTTCGGTGTCATCCTGCAGGAGATCGCCCTGCGCAACGGCCCCTTCTACGTCGAGGGCATGGACCTGAGTCCCAAGGGTGAGACGGGGGGGACAGGGCGGCGGTGTCTCCCCAGTCGGCCGAGGCAGGCCCCATCCAGCCCCGCCCGGGTCCTGGCCCCCGCGTTGACGCCCCCGTTGCCCCGCAGAGATCGTGCAGAAGGTGCGGCACAGCCAGGCGCCGTTCTTCCGGCCCTCCATCGACCTGGGCGCGCACAGCGAGGAGCTGGCCCTGCTCATGGAGCGCTGCTGGGCCCAGGAGCCGGCCGAGCGCCCCGACTTCAGCCAGGTCAAGGTCTTCATCCGCCGCTTCAACAAGTGGGTGCCTGGCATGGGCTGGGGCTGTGCAGCAGGGGCTTGTGCCCCCCAGTGACCCGGAGGCAGCCTGAGGAGCAGAGGGCAGGATGCGGGGGACGGGGGGGTAGAGTGCCGCAGGGTGGGGGTAGCGCGGAGATGCAGGGGAGGGGGATTGGGCATTGCCCCCCCCCCGCAACAGTCACCCCTAGGGTGGACATTGTGGTGTGCCACGTGGGGTCCCCACCTGGGGCCTTTATATGTGCCCCCCTGTCCCGTGGAGGGGCGGGCATTGCCCATGCCCCATCCAGGAGCCGTCTGGGGGGCGGGGGCGAAGATAGTCCTGAAGCTGCCCGCCTGCCCCTTAGGGAGAGCTGAGCTGGGACCATGGCTGTGTGCAGCGTGGCGGGGCTGGGGGCCGTGCCCCACGGAGCTGGGTGTTTCCTGGGGGGGCAGCAGCCTGGGGCCGCACAAGCACGGGGGTGGTGTGGGGCCGAGTTTGCAGGGCAGGGGCATTGGGGGCAGCAGAAATGGGGCCCTGCAGCGCCTAGGGCAGGTCCTGGCTCCCGTGTCGTGGGCATGGGGCCCCCTGATGCCCCTACCCCCGCAGGGAGGGCAGCACCAGCATCCTGGACAACCTGCTGTCGCGCATGGAGCAGTACGCCAACAACCTGGAGAAGCTGGTGGAGGAACGGACGCAGGCCTACCTGGAGGAGAAGCGCAGGGCCGAGAACCTGCTCTACCAGATCCTGCCCCAGTGAGCACGGGCCCAAGCGGGTGCATCAGATCCTGGGGGGCCACGCGTGTGTGCCAGAGCCTGGGGCTGGGGCCAGGGCCAGGGGGGCCCAGCGTGGGCCGCGCTGACCGGGGTGGAGGTGCAGGTGGCTGTGGCGCAGCAGTCCCGAGGCCACCCGTCCTGCAGGAGCTTTGGTCCCTGGCCTGGCACGGCTGTGCACGCATGCATGCACACGTGTGCACCCCCACGCAGGCGCTGGGGGGGCTGGGAGTGGAGGGGTGGTGAGAGCAGCAGGTGCCCAGCATAGCACTGGGAGCCCCTGGGGACATTGTGCTGCCCAGCTGGGGCCTTGACTGCCCCTGGGGACCCCCCAGCCAAGCCCCCGGGGGACTGCATGGAGGGGCTGCATCGGTAGAAGCATTAGGTGCAACGCACAGGAGGTGATAGTGCCTCTGCGCAGCGCTAGTCTGGCCTCCCCTGGACACTGGGTGCACTTTTGGGCTCCGCGTTTAAATAAGGAGGTTAGGGTTAGGGTTAGGGGGGAGCACAGCGGCAGCCCTGGCTGTGCAGGGAGGGGGCTGAGGGGTGGCTCTGCTTGCTGTGCCCAGGCTGCCTGGTGCGTGGCTGCCCCAGGCTCTGGGGCTTTGCTGGTGGCCCCATGGGCCTGGAAGGGATTTTCCCCTGCTCCTATTGCTACCGATGTTGGGTTTTTTCCTTCTTTATCAGCTGGGTGCAGCCCAGGCCGGGATGGGGACGGGCCAGTGCTGCTGGGACCAATCTGCAGGGTCCTGGCTGGAGGGTCTGACCCCTGCACTCGGGCAGGACGGGATTTCCCCCCTGCTCATCCCAGTCCACACTGGGGGTTTCCCCTCCCCCTGCAGCGGGGACACGGCCTTGGCCTGGGGTCTCGGGCACCCACGACCCCCCTGGCAGCAGCAGGACGTTGGTGGCTGTGGGGCAGGGGCGCTGCCCGGGGCTGTGTCAGGGTGACGGTGTCGTCCTGCTCTGAGCTCGGGCACCGGGTTTGTCAGGGCTGATCCTGCCTCGGGTTTGGACTGGATGCGACCCCTGGGGTCCCTTCCAGCTCACGGCAGTGGGATTTTCTGTAACGCCGTGTCCAGGTTGACCGCGCAGGGTTAGGGTCAGGGTCCGGGTCTGGTCAGACAAGGGCGTGCGCAGGGCAGTTTGGACAGGGCTGATGCCTGGAGCAGGGGCCAGGCTTCGCTGTGTCCCTGCAGCACTGGGGGTGCTGTCACTTCTGTATGTGCGCGGCTCTGGGAGCGCTTGGGTGATGGCTGCGACCCGGCACCAGGGATCAGGATTGCAGCTCCGGACAGCCCCAGCCACTTTCCTTTCCGCCCCGCAGCTCCGTGGCCGAGCAGCTGAAGCGCGGGGAGACGGTGCAGGCCGAGGCCTTTGACAGCGTCACCATCTACTTCAGTGACATCGTTGGCTTCACAGCGCTGTCGGCGGAGAGCACCCCCATGCAGGTACACGCGGGCAGGTCGCTCCCTGGGCTCTGGGTGCGTGGCTGGGCTGGCTTGGACGTGGCCGGGGCCCAGTTGCCGGCACCCGCGGGGCTGAGTGGGTCTCCAGATGTGGAAAGTCCCGCTCAGCCCCAGCTCCTGTGCCCCAGGTGGTGACGCTGCTGAACGACCTGTACACCTGCTTTGACGCCATCATCGACAACTTCGATGTCTACAAGGTGAGCGGGTTGGGGGCACGGACCTGTCTCGGCCCCTGCGGGGGTCTCCGGGGTCTGTCGCCTCCTGGGTGGGGAGGAGCAGGCAGTAGCCCCTCACCCCCGTCCCCCATGGGCGCAGGTGGAGACGATCGGCGACGCCTACATGGTGGTGTCGGGGCTGCCAGTGCGCAACGGCAAGCTGCACGCCCACGAGATCGTGCGCATGGCGCTGGCGCTGCTCGACGCCGTGCGCACCTTCCGCATCCGGCACCGGCCCAGTGACCAGCTGCACCTGCGCATCGGCATCCACACCGGTGAGCCACCCTGCGGCCCGGTCCCCTCCCCTCCCGTGCCATGGGGCAGTGCCTGGGCCAGCGCCGAGCTGACGTATCCGTCTGTCCGGCAGGCCCAGTGTGCGCCGGGGTCGTGGGGCTGAAGATGCCGCGGTATTGCCTCTTTGGGGACACGGTGAACACGGCCTCGCGCATGGAGTCCAATGGGCAGGGTGAGTCCCCTGCACAGTGCCCCCAGCCCTGACAGTGCCCCCGGGCCTGGCACCTCGGTTTGCCCAGCCCTGGCATCGTGGGGGTGCCAGGAGGGCACCAGGCCATGTGCAGTGTGCCAGGCCCCCAGCCCGCAGCACTGGGGCGCAGCCCAGGCCTCAGCCCCCTCACCCTGGCTGAGGGCCCTGCTGACCCCCACCTTGTCCGGCGCAGCCCTGAAGATCCACGTCTCCTCCACCACCAAGGAGGTCCTGGACGAGTTTGGCTGCTTCGAGCTGGAGCTGCGCGGGGACGTAGAAATGAAGGTGGGATGAGGGGGGCCTTGGCTGCATGCAGGGGCGGCGAGGGTGCAGGCCATGGGTGCCCAGACCCTCGAGGGGATGGTGCTCAGGCAGGGGACCTAGCAGCCAGGATAGCAGGGACACGGGACCAGCTGCGCCCAATCCCTGCTAGCCACACAGGCCGTCAGAGCCGCTGGAGGAGGCTGGGGAATGGGCTATGCCTGGGGGGGCATCTAGGACTTGGGGCGGCGGGGCAGAAGGTGCAGTGCGTCCTCACATAGACCCCAACACCCATTTTTGCCCTGTTACAGAGCCGCGGGCTGCCTGCGGGATGCTGGGCCAGCGCTGTCGTGCGCGGTTTCAGATCCAAGCAAAAACAAACATTCTCTGGTGAAACATGCAGGAATTTGCTAGGTCACAAATAGAGCTTCAGCAAACAGCGAGCCAGGCAAACCCGAGTCAGCAACGCCAAGGTGGGGCCCCTGGGCCCGGAGGCTGTGCTGTCAGGGCCTCCCCGAGCGTCTTGACAAGGCCTCCAATACTTCACCGTTGGTCACGTCTACACCCGGGTTATTACTTCTTTTAGCGAAAGCCTGAGATTGCCAGGGCCTGAAATAGGAGAGAGGTGACCAGGGAGGGCAACGGGACAGCAACGCTACAGGAAACAGGAGTCTGAACAGTGGCACATTGAGGCCACAACCAAGGGGAGAGGGTCGTTAACACCTGCAGAGGGGAGAGATTAGCAGGAATCAGCGTCCATGAGCCGGGAAGTGCAGTGACTCCCTGAATCACTGTGTGCTGCCCATCCCCGGTGCTTGTGGAGTCGGGGTGTCTCTGCACCCAGCCCTGCCCACACCTATCGCACCATCCCTGTGCCCGGGCCGCCACAGCGGGCTGAGCCCTGCTGCTGCCTGGCCAGCCGGGGGAGAGGGCAGGGGAGCCGGGACAGAGCTGCCCATCTGGGGCACGGGCCAAGCTGTGCGGTGCCACGGCACTGGGCTTGACCCCGCTGTGCTTCCTTGCAGGGGAAGGGGAAGATGCGGACATACTGGCTGCTGGGCGAGAGGAAGAACAACATGGTCGCTTGAGCCCTCCGGCCGTGGAGCCCTTGCCCCATCCCTGACTGCCGCGCGCTGCCGATGGACTGCAGGTCAGCGGGACCCGTGCCCGCCCTGCCCGCCAGGCCGCTCTGCACCCGGTGCCCGCGCCCAGGACAGGGTAGAGCAGACCCAGCCCTGACTGGCATCAGCAGAGCCAGCGTCACCGTGGCACAGCCCTGGGCCCGTGCCTGCTCTTCCTTGCACGGGGGCGGGCAGGAACCGGCCAGAGCCTGGGGGCGCACCTGCTGAGTCTCCCCGTGACCCTGCCCCGACTGCCCCCTCCTCCCCTCCCTGGGGCTCAGCTGGCCCAAGCCCCTGCTGCCCCCACTCGGCTGGCCGAGCCCTGCGCCCTCCCCCGCCCCCGGGCACTTTGCCTGCTTTTTTTTCAGGACTCGCTAACCCCCCACCACGAGCGTCAGGGGCTCCTGCCCAGGCTGGCCCCACAGCAGAGCGGGGCGGGAGGCACCGCCGGGGCCAGTGCAGCTGCTCCCCCAGCCCAGGAAGCGCCCCACGCTCCTCCTGCCCACTGTAAATACCCCATGGGCCACGACCCCTGCTCCCCCTTGTAAATATAGGAGTCAGACGGTGCACACTATTTTGGTGAAATACAGACCTCCCCCAACGTGTGCGGGCGAGTCCACATCTGTGCGCCGGAGGCGGCACCCTGAGCACCGGGCTGGGGGCAGGCGGCTTGGCCCGGCCCGGCTCAGGCCTGGCAGGGGGCTGCCACAGCCCCCGCGGGGGCCCTCGTGAACACCTAGGGGGATCAGCGGGGGGAGCTCTTTGACCCGATCCAGGTACCACGGGAAGGGGCTGTGCCCTCTGCCTGCTGACCTTGCTGCTCCACTTCCCAGCACCCCCTGCCAGGCTGTGCCTGTCCTTGCCACGGCCCCTGGAGCGGGTTCAGGACACTTCTGGGAAGTCCTCGCTGCCCGGGGTTTGCTTTGGCTCGAGGGCCAAGCACATTTCTGTGAGCTCATGCCTCGTGCCGCCAGCAGCTGACGGGAACTCACCTTGCCCAGGGTCAGTGGCAGGAGGGGCCTCGGCTCCGATGGGGACACGGTGCCAGGACGGTGCCATCCCCACGGGCGCGCAGGGCCCCAGCCCTGCCCCATGAGCCGGCCCGTCCCACTGGTTTATTGCTGTGCCAGGGCCGGGCCAGCCGGCGGCTCCAAGCTGTCCTCCACGGGCGTGGAGAAGGCCGCGTTCCTCTTGAACGGGGTGTCACCAGCACGGGGCTTGGTGACGCCCTGGAAGAGAGGGGAGCAAGGCAACGCTGGGGGGTCGTGGCATGGCCCCAGGGTCAGCCTGGGCCGTCACCAAAGGCAGTGGGGGGCTGCGGGGGTGCCCTTGCCCCAGGCAGGGAGCAGGTACTTACAGGTATGCGGGCAGCGTTCTCCAGCCAGAAGCTGCGGGGCTGCTCCATGCG